GGGGTGAAGATGGGTAGGCCGGTTTAGGTGGATGGAGCGGATGGAATGATGCTGGCGGAATGGACGATGGCGAGGATGACGTGCAGATGGAGAAAATGAAGAAGGACCACGGAGGATAGAAGGGTATAAAAGGGATTGTAAAGAGGAATAAACACTTATACACTCCTGTCTGTCTCGCCAACTAACTCTAAGCGCAATAAAAGACACGTGATTTGGTTTGCATGAAGCGTCGCTATCTGTGCCTGCACTTACGACACGTACCAACGCAGGAAACGCGCTGTACTTGTAATATTCAAGAGAACAACTTTTAGAGAAGAAACCCTAGAAACCCCTGTGGTTCAGTTATCGGCTACTGAGAGCCGGAGCTTTCTAGGGCACCCTCTCACCACGTCAAAACTGCGAATCGAAGATGATGAACAAATGAAAAGATTAGATATACATTGATTGATCAGCATTTCTCCCAACATGCTCGGTAAATGAACCCAAATAATCACTGTGTTTAAGCTTTCTCATGGGCTTCCCTCCTATCCTATTTTGAGGCAGTGTACGACCATTGTTTTACCAGCATTAGAGCACATACTTCTCAATACCATCCTTACCGGTGTTTGCATAGAAGCTCCCTAACCATTTGACAGACCTGCTCTTCTAGCCTTTCATGCCTTAGCCACATTTGCTTAGCGAATGTCTAATGTGAGGCCACTCTTCACGAGAAAGAGTGCTCCAGTAATGACACTCACGACGCAGCCGCGCGCGTTGACAGACGTTTTCGAGACATCTAGCGATTTGTGCTGCGTCCCTAGCCCCGCAGGCCAGAGAGCAGACACCACGGTGCCTTCTTGAATCTTCTTGCCCCTCACTGTTGCCCTTCGACATGTCACAGGGTCCTCTTGTGATACAACGCTACATCATCGTTTACAATTGCCTACTGGATCAAATCGGTGCTGAGATTCCTTTGAGAGCTCTGCGCGACGGCGTTTAACCAATTATGTGATGGTTTCGTTGTTTCTTTAATACACTTTCAAAAAATTCTAGTTTGTAGCAGTACATAATTAGTCTCCCAGTACGTCTAATACTGTGCGCATGATTTTATTCATGCCTTACCTCGAGAAGTGCGGAATTTTAGACATTTTGAATGCTACGGGTCCATTTTTCATTTTTGTTTTATTTTTTTGGGTCTATTCCAGTTAGGGGCATCATGATGCAGTTTCTTGGCGAACTAGTGTGAATCAAACATTCGGATTCTCACAACGTCAATTGACTGCTACTCAACCCCCTCTGTAGATGGCTGTTTTGTTCACCGCGCTAGGGATTCCCCTAGTTTCTGAAAAAATGCATCATGTGACCCCTCCGTAACTGGGATTAGCGCCTAATATGATCATATGCAAGGCTGTTCCTATAACAAGGATGAGGGGCATTTTGTACGGAGCAACCTAGACGAGCCAGGGGATGGGGTTTTCGACTAAGCCTATGGGGGCAGGGACGCGTGAGACGCTTCTCAGCAAATGAAGCGTTCTTGTACAGAAACGAATTTCGTTCTTCACTCCGGAGCTTCACTTTGGGCCGATTCCGTGCATATGGGGGGGGGGGTGTACGCTCGCTAGTGTTCGAGTAGGAACTTTGGGGCAAGTAATATTGCTCACCCACCCCGGTGTTCCTCTTTTACCAAGGCTATGCTCTCGGAAGGGCTTGGCCTCGCTAAAACGAGGAGTTCTGGGTGGGAGTCGTATCATATCGAGGATGTAGTATCAGATCAGAGTATTCTCCTCCTCTCGGCTCAGATTAAACCTTCTCTTCCGTCTTTCTCACAATCGCTTCTTCGCATTATCGCAACAAATGCCGCAAGCTTCGAAAAATCACCTGGCGATTTCAATGGACTCCTTTTCCAAGTCTTTACAATACCATAATCCGCACGAATTATTGCCCCCCCCCTGGGACCATATCGTATTCCCCAGGGGTCTTCTCAACAAGGATTGCTTCAAGAAAGGGTCCATTTGTAGTGTATGTGTTTGCGTAGAAGTCAAGTGTGCTGAAATTATAAAAATATATCGTTGAGCGCAAAACTTTAAGGGATTTTTTTTTATTTTCCTAAGCCTAGAGGAAGTACAAGGTACAGCTCCTGGAAGTTTGGTGTGGGTTACTATGACAGAAAACGACTTTGAAGTGCTACCCCTGCAGCATTAGTTTAGCCATCTACGATCTTACTCGTGATCCCTCGTATCAGTAATGCCATTGCGATGAAAGAATATCAGATTTCATATCCCTAACTTATTCTCGTAATTGCATGAGTTTAGAACATTATTCTATTCATTTATTTTTTTTGTCCGAAAACCTGAATATAACGTAGAATTGGCGCGAGTTTTTTGTACTTTGCGACACATTTAAATCCAATTGCTTTCAGATACAACTACTAGAAAAGCGACCATCCATGACTGCTGAGGAGGTGAGCGATAGGTTGCTTTTCATTGAAAGTTGACTTTTGAAAAGGGTATCATACATTGCATTTGACATAAGTCGGCATAGCAGGGCATAGCGAAGGGCACACAACCACAAAGTGTCATGAAGAAAAGGGAGTGTATGGCTGATGTCAGAGTCCGCGATCCGTCGCAGGTTTCGCTGATTTTCGCGATTGACGCGATCACGATATTACGCGACGGTTACGAAATCACAAGTGCCTGAATAATCTAGAATAGGTTCTCCATCTGCCGCCAGTATGTTGATACTGAATGTCAATGACAACTGCTATGATTCACTTGTTTTCATCTCAGTATGCTTCAGGTTCGTCTGTGCAATTTGCGATTTTTGCGATCCTCGCAGGTTCGCGCCAAAATCGCGGAAAACAACGAAACCAGGCTCCATACTTTTCTGCAAGATTTGGCGCGCACGCGGCGACGCGCGCGTCGTGTCCCTGCGGAACTGTGTGGTGATGCTTCTATTCAAATATTACCAACACACGTTCGCGGCACTATTCGACTCGCCGCGCCCCAAATAGTGCAAGAAAGTAGTAGAGCCGCGAAAAACTGCGACGAGATCGCGATTCTGATCAACCCCTAGCTTAGTCAAACTAGTTAATAATGGAAGCATAGATAATATCCAAAAAAAACCATACGGCTTAAAATACCACACTTAAGATCTTCGAAGGCATGCAGATGATTGCTTGTTAAAACACCCCCATCACAGTTTTCCTGATATATGATCGAACACCAAGTCGTGCGGCCGGTTTTACACTTCGCAAAATCCTGGATTCGCTAGCGATTGGACGTTTTGCTAGCAATTTGAGGGGTGCGAGCGATTCGTCAGCGACAATCAGCGACTACATTCGCTAGTGCATCGTTTAAGCCACCGGCGCATCGCTCGTACCCCTCAAATTGCAGCGAATCCACGGCACGCAAAGTCTGACACCGGCGTAATCGAGCACATCGCCGTGTATTTACTGCATTCCGGTACGATCACCATGTACATAAAATCAAGCTTGGCTTCTTGTTAGCCGGTCCCAAGTGGTCACCATATTTCTGATGATTGAGATACTATAGTAATGCTTCAACTTTTATTTAGTTGCTTCTTAAACTGGTTAACTCTTAATCTGCTACTGGTTAGAGCGGCGGTTTCACTTGATCTTGATTTTTCTTTGAAGTTTAGACCTTTGCAGAGAAATTTTTGAAGTTTCTAGAAAATTTTCCTTGTTCTTGTTTTTATGTGTTTGTTCAGATTACGCTTGACCTTGAGGAGTTGCGTTCTCTGCGTGCTCTAGCGAAGAGGCCTGCAGTTCAGAAATGGATTGAGAGCAAGATAGGAGAACTCAATGCTTTACAACCCGTAAGTTCTAAGTAGATCATGTGAAAGTCAAAATTTTCTTTTCCGAATTATGTGCAGTATTATATGTCGTAGAGGACAAGCTAGGAATGGGGATGAGATATGTAGAAGTGGCTCTGCTTGTAGGATTGATACAAGTCCTATTCATTCTTTTGACGCGTAGCTTTGCGCCGTATGCATCGCTGACGGCTTACGCTTACTGGTCCTTGTATTACTCTTAAGGATTGTTTTCACACATTTTTTTTCAAACACCTCAAAACTGTTGAACCAATATTCCTATCAGACCAAACAGTGACGAACTTTCTTGATGTCAATTCATGGTAGCAGTGCAGAACTGTCACAGTTCAGAAACTTCGGATAACCAAATTGTAATCCGCTTTTTCTGTGGTTTGACGAGATCTAGTGCTACAAAGAGGCATTTTTGGCATTTGAGAAGTGTCAGAATCATCAGTATCAAAGAGCGGCGAGAAAATGAACTCATTTGCAGCTCCTGCCTTCCAAAGTTACCATCACGTTGTATTTTTAGACGCGAGCTCCTGAAGCTACTACACCCTCGTCAGCTGCCAATCCGGAGAAATCTGCACCTTGTCCAAATCTTCCCACTGTTAAGGTTACGAATTATGGTAAGCTTCAAAGAATTGTCAAACTTCTTACGTTTCCGTATTTGCTCACCAAAAAATTTCCACTTTTTGGAAAAGTTTGGGAAAATCGTACAAACATTGGGGCCCAGAATAGAAAGAATCTGGAAGAAAAAATGTTTCAGTCTAACACCTCTGTGCGCCTGTACAAGGGAAATATTGAGTTTAAGTACCCTTCGAACTGGACACTTGTTTGAAGCAATACACTTGGTTTGCTTAGGTTGTTGGTCTTAAGAAATGAAAAACGATTTCGGCTGTAACCTGCTCGTTTCAATCTAGTTTTGTCAGAAATGTGTGTTCGAAATTTGCTGCATCCTAAGTTTGATATCCTAGTGCTAAAATTGGCTCGAACATCCTCGCTGTTCTACAGATTTGCTACAGAAGGGTATCAATCGCAGATGTTTAAGTGGATTCTTTTTATCATGAAATGTTAAATATCGAAGTCATGGCGTAGATTTTTTTGGCAAAATGTTTCGTAAAAGTTGCAAAGTTTTGTGATTCGCGTGAACATAATTCAAGTAGTGTGTTAACTGACATTAATAAATTATTGTGGGTATGGATGAAATTCGATGCTGAGGTCTTACTGATGAAACTTTCGCTTAACACTTGCATTTTTCTTTTTATAGGCTGGGACGAGTCTGACAAGTTCGTCAAGGTTTATATTACATTGCAAGGAGTGCAGAACGCGAATCCTTCTACAATTCAGCATAGTTTCACCAACACGTATGTCAGCATGGAAACAATTCCTTGACTTAAGAATTCAACGACTGACTCATGCTATGGTTTCAGTGGATATGATATAACAGTTTCTAATCATGGCGGAAAGAATTACGTAATGACAATGAAGGGACTACGAGACGAAATAGTGCCGGAGAGTAGTCAAATCAAGGTGAATTTTAATGTATGCTTGTGCAGTGCTAGAATGTCTGTTTCTGTTCATTTTGAGAGCGATACTGTTTTTTTTACCATTTTCTCATTTTAGTTATTATTTGGAACGGTGGAAATTTCAACCTATGACTCTGACAGTTTTCGGTGCTAGCGGCTTTCACATTTTATAATCGGCTCCGATTTTCCATCTAAGGCTGCTTTCATACTTTGAGCCGGTGCGGTCGGTGCGGACCGTGGGACGGTGCGGAGAGAGTGAAGAGCGTCAACACGCGCACTGGCGCATGACGCGTACTTGGCGTGCAATGGGTAGCGATCGATAACCACAATTTCGATACATCCTTTCCATTTTTTTCAGTTGTTTGGTTTGCTGTCTTGCATTCGATCGTGTTTTTTTTTGCTTGAATCTTTTTTTTGGATGAAATAGTGTCTTTGCTCACTGATGGCCTCATCTGAAGCTGGCCGGCGACACCTGAAAAACAATGATTAGGACAAGAAAGAATCTAAGCCAGAACGAAAGCAAGACGGCACACAAAACATCAAAAAAGGGAAAAACTATTATATTATTATATTATATTATACTATATTGAGACTGAAAATATCGGTTGGAAACTACCGCCTGTGCGCCAAGTACGCGTCATGCGCCGCTACGCGTATTGACGCGCTTCAGTTTCTCCGCACCGACCGCACAGACTATGAAAGCAGCCTAAGCGCTAGATCATCTAGAGAGCGCGTTTGAACTGATCTTGCAAAAGATTAGTTTTATCGGCAAGGCTGTGAATAACGGAAACTGGACTTGGCTTTGAGCGCGCATGTGTTAAGTACTGTACGACCATGCCCTCCTTAGATGTGGTATCACTAGTTATTTAGTCAGTTATCACTGACATATCCATCGTAGAGTGCGTTGATAGCAAGGATCGAATGATAGTGTGCCTATTGTGGAAATGAACGGTTTCGCTAGCCGTCAGTAGTACCCGATACCTCGGATCGCTGAAAACTTTCGTGCGCGCTGGTTAAATACGGTCCCGATTGGTTTGGCTCGTGTAGAAAAAGGGCAGAGTTAAGGGTTGAACTGAGGGATTATAGGTTCTACTTCTAAACCTAGGAGAATACAGCGTAAATAATTACATATCTCTTTCAGCAAAAAACTGACATGCTTCTGGTTATGATGAAAAAGCGAAACGAAGGAAAGAAATGGGAGCAACTTACGAAGCTCGAGTACGATCAAAAGCAGAAAAGGTCAGTGAACTATTAACTACTAACTTCTTTTTTGTTAAAGTTTCAAGTCATTCTCAAGCTAGGCAGCGTTCACGTCTTGCAGCAATCATGCCTATTATGAGAAATGTTTACCATGAGCAAAACGCGTGTGCAGCAACGTGTGGCATAAAGATTAGTAGTCGCCGTGTGCTATGTTTATAATGGTAATTTCAAACTGATCGTGAGGTGAAAATAGGTAGAGTGAGAGAGGTAGGAATTCTAACGCCACATTCTGTTCTATTATTTTACCAGCTTTAGTGGCCTAGACCAGCCAATACAGCTGATTCATATTGAAAAAGTTGTGAAAGGGCAAATAGTCCAAATCCGACACTGTTGGTGGAGCATTCGTCAAATATCAGTTCAAGGCCGGTGTCAGACTGCGAATCCGTGCATTCGCTAGCGATTGGGCATTTCATTAGCAATTCGAGGGGTGCAAGCGATGCGCCAGTGAATCAGAGATTAAGTTCGTTGCTGCATTGTTCGAACCGGTGGTGCATTGCTCGTACTACTCAGATTGGAGGACCCGTGGATTCGCTAGCGTATCTAAGGATTCGCAAAGTCTGATAGGAGTCTTACTAAGAGATGTTTGGACTTCCCATGGAACTTTGGAAGGAGACCTAGATGTATCGATAGAGTCTTGAACGCTGATTACAAATATGGACACTAAAACTGCTGCTACGTGAACTTCCTAAGAAAGTTATGAGCCTTCAAAGTTGGCAAAAAACGTTACTGAGGCGAGCTTACCTGGTGGAATCACAGTCGCCGTGGCTCTGCGCCAAAAACGAGTCTCATATTCGTAATCAGGGCACCCATTTACCCTTATAGAACAAGTTCCAGGCAAAAAGCAACCGTGTTTCCACATAGGTTGCACCTCATCATTAGCGTTCTTTTGCAACTTTTAAGGCTCACAACTTTCTTACAAAGTTCACGTAGCAGTTTTAGTGTCCATATTTGTAATCAGCGTCCAAGACTATATCGATGTACCTAGGTCTCTTTCAAAGTTCCATGGGAAGTTTGAAACATTCCCTGGTT